TGAAGTATGTTGGGTGCTGATTGGGTGGGGGGGGGGGGGGGGATTCGGAACATCCTGTAGTCCAGGATTGTACTCCACATTATATTCTCCTAAATTCTGCCCAAACTTGTTTGAAATGGTGCAGGCAATGAAGTGGAGCTTGGGAGCTTCTTCCACAGTCCAGTAGTAGAGTACATTCCATGCCAGAAAATCCTTGAATATTCATTCTAAATCCCTTTAACTGACATTAAATGTTAAAGGTGGAAGCAGTGATTGTGATGTTGTCAACCCAAGAAAAGGATAACATGTTCAAGTTAACTTTCTTACATAGTGTGTGTTCTAAAGCAGTGGTGGGGCAATCAAAGGCTCCTCAGGGCAAGCACTGGTGGGCTGCCAGACAATTTGCTTTGTGTCCACAGGTACAGCCACCCACAAACCCTATTGGCCGCAGTTTGGCGTTCCCAGCCAATGGGAGCTGCAGGAAGGAGCACAGGACACAGGGGCTTGCTGGCCACTGCTTCACATAGCTCCCATTGGCTGGAAATGGCAAAATATGACCAGTAGGAGCTGCGAGTGGCCCTACCTGCAGATAAAAGGCAAATAAACAAATGACTCATGTATGGCCTATGGGTCACAGGTTGCCCACCACTCTTCTAAAGCCTCTTCTTTCTAATATATATCAAATACATCATCACCATTGTATCTGGATCCTAATGTGACTCCCAACAGAAGTAGGATTCAGATCATTAACATGTAATATTGGCACTTCTTTTTATAACTATGGGCTTGTCTCTATGAGAAAGTTAGTGCACAGCAAGCTAAGGCATAAATTTAAGGTACTCTTCTACTCTACATTAACTCCCTGTATAGAAACTTTAGGGGGTAGCCGAGTTAATCTGTATAAGTAAACTGAAAAAACAACAAATAGTCTGGTAGCACTGCTTCATCAGTCTTTAAGTGTTTCCTGACTCTTTGTTGTTTGCTAAATAATGGCTCTTATCTGCCCCCTTTGACTATCTAGTCTTCAGGTGCTTATAGTCTATTTGTTTTCCCTATTGCTTTCCAGCTTTGCTTTCCCTTGATATATTTTTTACTCACTTCCTTTTCTTGTCCCTCCTCCCCAATTTTCCCTTCCGTCCCCCCCCCCCCCCTCTCTCCCCCTCTCTCCAACACTCCAGTCATCTGAAGAAGCGAGCTGTGCCCACGAAAGCTTATGATACCATCTATATGTTTTGTTAGTCTATAAAGTGCTACCAGACTATTTGTTGTTTTTTCAGTTTACCTATATAGGCACAATTACTACATACTAGTGCTGTATTTACACTGCCCCCCCTCTCCAATTTAAACTATGTGGGGCGGGGGGGGGGAGGGAAAATAGTACTATTCAACAAAGTGCTTGCTCTGTCTGTCCAGTGCAATGGCTGAGAGTGTGAACTAACAGGTTCCTAGTGTGTGGTAACATAGGGTATGTCTACACTACAAAGGTAGTTCGAACTAACGGACGTTAGTTCGAACTAACTTTAATAGGCGCTACACTAGCGCTCCGCTAGTTCGAATTTGAATCGAACTAGCGGAGCGCTTAGTTCGAACTAGGAAAACCTCATTTTACGAGGACTAACGCCTAGTTCGAACTAGTGGGAGGCTAGCCCTCCCCAGGTTCCCCTGGTGGCCCCTCTGGCCAACACCAGGGAAACTCTATGCCCCCCTCCCGGCCCCGGACCCCTTAAAGGGGCACGGGCTGGCTACGGTGCCCGTGCCAGGTGCAAGCCTGCCAGCACCCAGCTAGCAGACCCTGCACCTGGCACGGCACAGAGCCCCCCACCCGATGCCCCCCAGCCCACCCCCTCTTGCCGGGACCAGGCTGGCGGCTCCCGGGAGCTTGCCCTGGACCGCAAGAGGCGGGCACCTTCCTGGGCTAGTGCGGACATCGTGGACCTCGTCCACGATCTCCTCACTAGGCACAGGAAAGTGGCCGTCTAGGGCAGGGGAGCTGCCAGCCTGGCCACCCAGGAGCAGGTGTGCATGAAAATCAAGGGGGTCCACTGAGCCCCCCGACCCTGAGCCCTGAGCTTACAATGGCCGTACTGGGTCAGACCAAAGGTCCATCTAGCCCAGTAGCCTGTCTGCCAACAGCGGCCAACCCTAGGGACCCTGGAGGGGATGGACCGAAGACAATGACCAAGCCATTTGTCTCGTGCCATCCCTCTCCAGCCTTCCACAAACTTTGGGCAGGGACACCACTCCTACCCTCTGGCTAATAGGACTCCATGGACCCAACCTCCATGACTTGATCTCACTTCCCTTTAAACTCTGTTCTAGTTGTAGCCTTCACAGCCTCCTGCAGCAAGGAGTTCCACAGGTTAACTATTTGCTTTGTCAACAACAACAACAACTTTCTCTTACTAGTTGCAAGCCTGCTACCCATTCCTTTCCTTTGGTGTCCTCTAGTCCTTCTTGATGGGAACTAATGAAGAGCTTTTCTGTATGCACCCTCTCCACCCAACTCCTGCTTTTAGAGCCCTCTATCCTGTCCCCCCTCCGTCTCCTCTTTTCTAAGCTGAGAAGTCCCAGTCTCTGTAGCCTCTCTTCATATGGGACCTGTTCCCAACCCCTGATCATGTTAGTTGCCCTCCCCTCTCCCAGCCTTTCTCTTCCCCTCTCCCACCTCCTTTTCCCAGTCTCCCCCAGTTTTTTTTCAATAAAGACAGAGTCAATGTTGGAAGAAACGTTATCTTTATTTTGTACATCGATAAGAAGGGGGGCTAAGGAAGGGGAAGTGGAAGGAGGTGAGGGAGGAATGGGGTACGAGCCCCCGATGGGGAGGACTGGGCTGGCTCTGCGGGCTTCTGGGGGTGGAAGCTCTCCTGCAGCCCCCCAATTACTCCCTCTCCGCAGATGGCAGCCTGCGGCAAGTGCAGCCGGGCTGATGGCCGAGTGGTGTGATGTGCCCAGTGTGGGCACTCAGGGCACTCCAAGCCAGAACTTCTTTGCAAGCGGGGCACCCCTTAGAACTGTGTGTCCGGGGTGGGGGTCGGGACCCTTTAAGCGCAGCCCTCGGCTAGCCTGAGACAGCATCTCCATGCTCTAAGTCCTCCTTTTATGCCCTGCCGGCACTGCTTCCGGCCATCCTTAAGCCCTGTTCAGAGTCCACTCAATGTGGACTTACTAGTTCGAACTAGCAAAACGCTAGTTCGAACTAGTTTTTAGTTCTAGATGCGTTAGTTCGAACTAGCTTAGTTCGAATTAACTAATTCGAACTAAGTTAGTTCGAACTAGCGCTGTAGTGTAGACGTACCCATAGTTCTTTTCAAACAGAAATGTATCAACACAAACTAGGAAACTTTTAGTTTACACCCATAACAGCCACATGGGTGAGTTGCAGCACAGCACTGTCATGCACATTGCTATTGAAGTTGAACCTGCCAGGCAATGTAGACAAACTGTAGGAGTGCCACCATAATGCTTTACTTAGTACGCTTCCAAAGGTACAAAGAAAATGCACACAAAGGCAGAGTAAGAGTGTCTATATGAGGTGCCAACATGGAGTAGCTGGTGCACACTAGCTAGTGCATACTATCAATTACAAGCTTTCTCCTTCATAGAATAGCCCCAAATCTCATTTTGATATAAGAGATTTCAACCTAACAAATCACAGGCCAAAACCAGTATTCAACAAACTTGGTTTTTCCTTAAATTTAATAATTTTGGGGGACAAATCCTGGTTCCAGTAAAACCAATGGTAAAATTTACCTTCAGTAGGATTAAACTTTAGCCTCAATATTGTTTTACATATTCACTGCCATTGCTACACTGTAGACAAATTTTCATGTTGCGTAAACTGAAGCTTTCATGTTGTGTAAACTGATTACATGCATTTTTGCTAGCTGAGATTCTAGCCCCTGTAATTGAGAATGGGCTCAGAATAGGTCAAAATCTTCCTCACACTCTAATTATTTGGATTAACTTTTCAACTTCAAAATAGTTTATAGGCAATAGTAGTCCATTGAATTTGTTCAAACTAACTTGAAACAGATTTTATACCTACATTTTATCAGGCAAATTAATCAGCTAATCCATTTTTAGTTCAGTTTTCATTGCTGCCCTATTGTTTGAAGGATCATAAAACATGTAGAAATAAGATAATATGAACATAAGACTGGAAAGGACCTCCTGGGACATCAAGTCTACTTTCTCAGTCAACCTTGTCATATGATCCAAATCATAAATGTATCAAGCTCCATTTTAAAACAAGTTAGGTTTCTTGCCTCCTGTACTCTTATTAGAAGGCTGTTCCTGAATCTCACTCCTCTGATAACTATAAACCTTCTAATTTCCAGCCAAAAAGTTACGGCTGACCAGTTAATACCCATTTGTTCTCGTCCAACAGTTTTCTGTGCATTTCCAGAGATCTATAGTGGTGTGTATATATATATATATA